AGCCTGGCTTGGGGCTCAGGAGCCTGCGTTCAGCATGTGTACAGACTCAAGAGTGCTGCAGGGAAAACTGGGGCTTTTTTGAAGCTGTTGGTGGGTTTTGCTTTAATTGGGGGGTTGTTTTGTTGGGGGTCGCTTTCTTGATTTTGTCTTGCTAGGTGGAAGCTCTTTGATATACGTTGATTAGAGTTTCTTGCCTGTTGCCTTTTCAGTCCCCACCAGGGAAAGTAACAGCTGCGGTGATGGCTGCTATTGATGCTGGGTACCGTCACTTTGATTGTGCATATGTGTACCAAAATGAAAATGAAGTTGGCGAAGGGATCCAGCAAAAAATCAAGGAAGGTGTTGTGAAACGAGAAGACCTCTTTGTTGTCAGTAAGGTATGGATTTGGTGGTATGAGGCCCATGGGGTTTTTTTATAGTCATTCCCCAGTTCTTTACTTCCTTATACTGTGGTGAAGTATGGAACAGCTTAGCACATCTTGTGGTAGGACAAGAGGTAATGTTTTTAAACTAAAATAAGGTAGATTTAGGTTAGCTGTAAGGAAGAATTTTTTTGCGCTGAGGGTAGCGAGACACTGGAGCAGGTTGCCCGGAAAGGTAGTCGTTGCCCCATTCCTGGAAACATCCAAAGTCAGGTTGGATGGGGCTTTGAGCAACCTGGCATGGTTAAAAATGTCCCTGCTTGCTGCAGGGGGTTTGGACTAGATGACCTTTAAAGGCCCCTTCCAACCTGGGCCATTCCATGATAGTAGGATTGCTTGGGCTACTTTTGAGACAAGCTTCTTACTTTGTCTCATGCTATATGGAGAGTTGTGCAGGGCATGTGCTGTTTGATGTGGGTGATACTTTAAAATTTTTCTGGCACAAAGTTATGCTGTCCTTTTTTTACACAGTAGCTGGCCTTCTAGTAGGTGTTTTTTAAATGAAGTCCTAATTAGTGAAACCAGACTATTTCTGCTGTCTGCCATGACAACATTCAGTCATGTGTGCTGCTGCTGCATGTATTTTCCTTGATGTTGCAGCCCAGTCCTGCTCATGTTTGAAGATCGGTAGGATGACCTACTTCCCCATCACCTTCCAAAGCATTCCATGAGGTTTAACCTAGGAAGTCACAGTGTACCTTGGATTTTTGTCTCTAGCTGTGGTGTACATTTCATGACAAGCCTCTGGTGAAGGGAGCCTGCCAGAAGACTCTTGCTGACCTGAAACTGGATTATTTGGATCTCTACCTCATCCATTGGCCTGTTGGTTTTAAGGTACAGTAACAGCAATGCCTTTGGCTCTGTCTATTGTGACTGGCAGTTTTGTAGAGATACAGCTCAGGAATTGCTCCAGCTGATACAGATCATCATGTGTCTGTTGTGTACCAGCACTGCGCTGGTGCTCAGTTTTACTCTGGCTGTGTGAGCCAGGCTGTTGATCCCTACTGTGAGAGTTGTGCTTGCACAGCATCCTCTGCCCTTTTGATTGTGAAAGAGGTAGGCCTTGAACTAGGAGCAGGTTTCCCTACTGCAGATGTAACTTATATTGCTTTCCTATTGATTATGGCCTATGTTTTGTCTTCTACAATCCAGAGTGTGCTTTACTGACAATAACGTGGTTCCCTTTTTGTGGGAATGAGGGCTGTGCTTTGCTGCTTGACAGAAATTCTTTCCTCTGCATGTTACGGAATTGCAGAGCAAGAGAATGCTTCCATCTTCATTTTCTATCTTTAATCAAAGTCCTTTAACAGAGTGCAGATTGAACTGACCCTTGTTATAGGAGCCTTAGTATTCCCAAAAACTTGTATTTCAAAAAGTGAGACTTTTTAGTTTGTAACTCTTTTAACTGGCTGCCTGCAGAGGAATTGATGTCTCGGTCTGAATATTTCTTATTAGTCTTTCTGTTAGAGCCTGACCGAAATCTTCTTTCCACTTGTTTCTTCCGAGATTAACTGGTTTTCATAGCATCTGTATTTTTGAAATTAGTTTCATATACACAGAACTATCAAAGTGGAAATGTGTTGTGGTTAGGTAATATATTAGTAGAAAACAGCTGGTTTTGAATGCAGTCAGTACCTTTGCCCGTAGTCCTAACTGGGACACAGGCTCTTTTAACATTTCCTATGCCAGCAGCTTAAACAATGAGTCTCCCTGTGAAAGACAGCTCTGTCAACAGATCTGCTTCAACAGAGACTGAACACGTCCCATATCCGAAGTGGGTCTTTATTGTGCAGTTTAATAAAACACTTCATTATGTCCATGTAAGAAATGTGTAATATTGTAGTACAGAATGTAAACTTGTAAACTAGCTCTAGTTCCACAAGTGGAGAGTTATGTTTCACTGTGTGTGTTTTGATGAGCCAGAGGACTTTGTGTCCAGAAGAAGTACCAGTCCTTACTGGGATGGCTTTGGGCAAAACTGCCATAATTCCATGTGAAAGGAAAAGAAAAAAACTGAAGAATGTAGGCAATGAGTATTGGTATTATCTAATACATATTCAGATAGAAAGTATTAGTATGTCCTGCAGTAGGAGTCTGTAGTATCAAGGTCTTCAGCTGGTGTTAACCTAACCTCATACCAAGGCTAGTCTGATATTCTCAAATCAGGACAGAGTGTTTCAAGTATTTTCTTTGTCACTGACAGGCAGGAGAGGAGCTGTTTCCAACAGATGACAAAGGCATGTCTATACCCAGCAACACAGATATTCTACATACATGGGAGGTAAGTTCAGCGACAGCAGAAGAATCATGCCTTCTGTTCTCAGCAACCTCTTCCATGTTTTCATTACCTTTGGCAGTCCAAATTGTCTCAAGTATGTAGAGCTACTTTAAAGGACTTACTGGTACAATAGTGGATTGTTGGGTATCGTTATTTTCCACTTCTTCTAATTTGCTGTGAACTTCCACAATCTCAAAGGATGAGTCTTTGAGCTTTAAGATGGGAGACATGTCACAAATATACTAGTGCTCTTTTTTTTCCCCCCTCAAATTGAACTCTGTAAATCTAAATGCTTATTTTTGTACTTTTCATGAAGGAAATAAGCCCTGTCATGTATAATAGATGCTGACTTTGCTCTTCTCTGTGTTAGGCCATGGAAGAGCTGGTGGATGCTGGTCTGGCAAAAGCAATTGGAATCTCCAACTTTAACCATGAGCAGATTGAAAGAATCTTGAACAAGCCAGGACTGAAGTACAAGCCTGCAAATAACCAGGTAAGATGCAAAGTGATTGCAGGTAGATGTTTGAGTGATGTGTTTCATTTTACTGGGATTTCTTGGTGGTTATTTCTTTAAAGAATTACTAAGATCTTTTTATGTAATAAGGTTACAGAAAGAGAAGTAGCCACAGCATGTTTTCTCAATCCCACCCTTTAACTGCTTCTAGATGTGCAAGGTGCTGGGTTGTTTGGGTTTTTTTTTATGGACTTTCTGCACTATTTTTTGAAAATCTGGCAAGGAGCAGCTCCAAGTGCTGAGTTAGAGGCAGGCAATCCCTTCCCACAGCTTGTCTGGTTGTGCTCCTGCTACAAGGGCTTGCTCCTGTTCAGCGCAGTGTACTGTAGCCCCCAGGTTATTTCTAGCATAGTTCCTTTGCAGGTAGTCAAGCTCCAGAGGAAAAAGCCAGGGGCTTTTCACTTGTGTGCAGCCTCGTTGAATTTCCTAAGGTTTTTGTCGGCCTGTTCTTCCTGCCTGAGTGGGTCCCTCTGAAGTGGCAGCCCTGCCCTTGAGTGTAGTCACTGGCCCATTTCTAGCTGTGCATCACCTGCAGACTTGGTGAGATTGTAGTCTGCTGCAAGCCGTTGAAGAAAAGGGGTCCCAGGTCCAGATGCCCACTGTGGAATCTATCTAGATTTGTCCTTGCAATGGCTTTTGAAGGACGGCAATCTCTGTTTTCGATACCTGATTACAGAAGCTGGTTAATTTTTTGTGGTAGCTTGAGCCTATGTACTGAAAAAGGATTTTAACACCTTATTTTCAGAAAGCTAATAGGACTGTTTTCTGAAAATCTATTTAACATAAAGCTGAAACATTATGACAAGTGCAAAATTCATAATTTTCTATGTTGTCATTGTCATCGCCAAGGTACTTTTAAGGTACTTAGTAGAAGTTTTATGATACCTTTCAACACCTGCCACACCTCATTGTCACTGTCATTGTAGTTGATAATTACCCTTGTCTCTTGCATAGAGGTCACTGACCTCATATCTCTCACTTGCAAATGTTCTCAAGCTCTCTGGTTATTATAATTAAGATCAGAGCAATGGGTCCTTGATCCCTGTACTCCAAAATTTGCAGCTTCTGAAGAAGTGCTTGCGTGCCTGAAAGCTTAGTAACACTTAGCAGTTGGCCTGATAGCGATAGTGCTTCCTGCAAGCACTTTCTGTGCAGGTGTTTCATGTATAATCCAGTAATCTCCTGCAGTTGGTATCCATTCTTAATGTGAACACAAGTCAGTATGCACACAGTTCTCATTTGTGGTGAGAAATTAGTCTGACAAGGTAATTGTGTGACAGTGGTGTCAGTCCTTCAGTCAGGAAATCGGACTTTAATTACTTGATCATAAACACACAGTGTGGATTGCAGTAGTTTAGGAGAACATGGGGTTTTCATCCTGGTCCAAGCATAAGACTAGATAAAGTAACTGGGACTATTTTTTCAATCTGAATGCCAGCAGACAATAAGGATGACTTTGCCTCACTTATTGCCTGAGTTCTGCCTGTTGAATAGTTGAGAGAATAACCAAATACTTTGTTTCTCTTGAGTAGCTGGAGTGTTTCTGGAGCTGCTGAAGCAAAATAAATATGTATAATCTGTCCAAAAAACTGAATTACGTGTCCTGTTGCCTAATACTCCAGTGTACACCAGAGGGGAAGCCATGATTTGGGCTTCTCTTAACGGTAAGCAGCAGGAACCACAAATGAAGCACTTGAGACTGTAAACTGATCCCATGTTTTGCACTCACTTGCACTGCTTGCCAGTAGCACAAGTTTCCAGGGACTTCTCTCAGAATGCAGCTGCAGGCTGCAGAAGGCTTTTATGACAGCGTAGTCAAAAAGATTCCTGATGTTGCCTGCTGAAAGAAAAGCAGTGCTCCCTGGTTTGGAACTATCCTGAAAGTCCCTCTCTGCAAATTATCAAATGTTCAGGGAATGAATATGCCTACTGACACAGGAGTAATGTCTCTTCTAGACTGTATATTATTGCATTAGCTTTCCAGAATACAGATCTGCTGTTAAGGAGTCTGTATTCCCTTGATGTAGATACTCTTATGGAAATTCATGGTAAGTACATGTGTGTTTATAAAAAGTCTGTAACAGACAGTAAGCTAAAAAGGTCTAAATCAGTAGCAGTTAGCCATTCTCACTATTGGCAGACCGGAGTTATTCAGAATGAGCATTAACACAAAGCAGATAATCCCAAATGATACAGTCCTGAAGTATTGAAGTTAATATGGTAGTTGTAAAAAGAACATTATGGCATGTTTAATTAGGGATGAAAGAGAAATTTGTACCGATTGGTCTGGTGTCGTGTTGCAATTTTACAGTTCTGTGTGTGCATTTTACTGAACTGTCCTGTTGAAGCTGTTACGTGGCTGGTCGTTCCGTGTGTTGGAGATTATATGGCTCAGTAAAGTTTTAAGGAGTGTGTTACAGTGCTTGGACCCTTTGCTTCAAGGAGAACTACTAAAAGTGGTAGAAAGTGGGTGGGAGCATAGAGTAAACAAAGGTGGCACGATATTGCAAAGAGACTACAAGTTAGAACAAAAAATCAGCCTCTGATTTGATTAAAAACTAACCTCTGGAAGATGTTATAACAGTTCCATCACTGTCAATCTCTGCACTCTT